ATAAAAGTAAACAAATACTAATATCTCTAACTCTACAAAATATCTTAATCTACAAGAAAAGATAGTAGAAATAAACCAACTTAAAAAATTCTAAAAACCTAACTTATATTCTACCACTTTATGTTTCTTTTGAATATAAACAATCCATCTTCCCCATATTGATAAAAATTGTTCATTCGAATGGTTCTTCAAATAAGCCAAAATCTTTGCCATTTCAGCAAGATACGAAACTTTCATTCTCCAGTCTCCCATCGTTGGCAGAATTGGGCTCTTCCAGTTTTGGGCTATTAGCAATCTACAATTATGGTGGAACTTACAGCAGATTTTTAAAAAAAGGATTATTTTTCTCCCACAGTTGTTTCTTTTAGGTATTGCGCAGAATTTAGACGTAAAAGAAATGAACTTAATGCTTTATTGTTTATCAATTTTAATAGATATTAAATAATAATAGACAGACCTGTCAATAGCAGCAGCCAGAGCCTGGGTTCCAGCAATCTGGCTTTTAGAATGAGAGTTGGAAGCTGGAAAAGGGAGAGTGATGACTGAAGATATCAAGCATTTCTTTCCTGAGTGTGGTTCATCTTCACCCTCCTGCCACACTCCCCCATTGCCTGTCACAACTGTAATCTGATTTCTCCACAATACTCCCATACACAATGAAGATGATTAGGGGACTGGAGGCTAAAACATGATGCTGAACATTTGCAGAAATGGATATGTCTAGGCTAACGAAGAGAAGAAGCAGGAGTGACATAACAGTCTTCCAATATCTAATGGGCTGTCACAAAGAAGAGGGGTCAACCTATTCTCCAAAGCACCTGAGGGCAGAACAAAGAAGTAACAGATGGAATCTTATCAAGGAGAGGACAAACCTACAATTAAGGAGAAATTTCCTGACAGTGATAACAATTAATCAGTGGAGCAGCTTGTCTCCAGAAGTTGTGGATGCTCCATCACTGAGGGTTTTTAAGAAGCGATTGGACAGCCATTTGTCCAAAATGGTATAGGGCAGGAGTAGGCAACCTTGGCTCTTTTATGACCCGTGGACTTCAACTCCCAGAATTTCTGAGTCAGCATGGCTGACTCAGTATAGGGTCTCCTGCTTGAGCAGGATATTGGACTAGAAGGCTTTCAAAATTCCTCTTATACTGTCACCTTTACATTCACCCTGGCTTATATCCCCTGATGCAACACCCCCCCCCCCCGCCATCTATCACAGAACCACAATCAACCACAGTAACTGAGCTGCTTCAACCTCCCCAACACCCCATTCATCTTCTACCGTGTCCACAGCACACCTACATATCTAGCCTCCTCCCCATCTGCTCCCACAACCTATTCTCACTAGAGGCCAGGAGCTACTAAAAAATTAGATGCCCTATTGACTAATATGAACCTCACCCAAATTCTAGACCCAACAACATCTCAACAGTTCTTGTGTGGGGGGCAACTCTACAGGAGCCTCATGTTAATGAAAACTGATTTCTAAATTGTTCCAAGTCACAGTCTTGTTCTAGTCTCTCTTAAAAGGTCCAAATCCTTTTAAAGAATCATTCTCTTCCAAACCAGCCTCCAGAGCGACGCTGATGGTAGAGCAAGTTCTCACACCAAAGTCCAACTTGCAACTCACACTTAACTACTGTACCATCAGTTGCCAACCCTGATCACCTACACCAGGGGTCCTCAACCTTGGGAACTTTAAGACTTGTGGACTTCAACTCCCAGAATTCCTCAGGCAGCTTTGCTGGCTGAGGAATTCTGGGAGTTGAAGTCCACAAGTCTTAAAAGTTCCCAAGGTTGAGGACCCCTGACCTACACCTACCACAGTACCTTCTTTGGAAGTCCTCTTGGCTTCTGCTGTCATAAATTCAGGCAGCCCAAAGATAAACAAGGAAACTCCTAAACTGAGGCTCTCCAGACTTCCAGTACTTGAAATTAAGCAGCCTCCCCCCAAGAGACTGAGAAAGAGTCCCCTAGGGCTAGGTTGAAAATTCAGGTTGTAATGCGGCATTCCCTTTTGGATAATATCAATAGGTTCATTCTTAAGACAAAAACCGTGTTACTGTGTTATTTATGAATCCATGTAGTATACATTTTGTAGTTTTAAAAGTATTCTTCAAACCAGCTCATGTTATTTAGAGCAGACTACCAAGGATTAAATTCAAAGCAGAATACATATGGGATGTGAATTCCTGCAAGCATTTTTGATGCAGCAAATGAGTGTGCCTGAAGTGTTCCGTTTCTTCCAATGTGGTTCTGTTCAGTTGTGCTGAACTGTATCTTTTGACAATGCTGCCAGGGTGTTAACAGTTGAGAGTCAATTTTGGCAGGGCTCTATCCATTGTATTTTATTGGTAAGTAGACAACTTTCTTCTGTGTAGAAATAACCGGATAGGATCACCTGCCATTTCACCAGTTAACAGCTTCAAAGGAAGAGCAATCCAATTTCTAATTGAGTCCAATTTTTGATTGCTGCTAATGGTGTCTGCAAATTGGTAAAAATTTCTGGTTGTCTCTTACAAATGGAGAATTACAGAGTTACACTGCATTTTGTCACCTCATGCAGCCATGCACGAAATCAAAGATTGGATGCCTGAAATGTGGCGTTGTGCTGATGGAACATGCAGATGAGGCTTTTAAAATCCTTGGTGGAGTTGGACTCTTCTTCAGTTTCACAGAGGTAACCATGTCTATGAAACTAAACAAAAAGTAGGGGCTACTTAGCCTAGGTCAGGGGTAGGCAACCTTGGCTCTTTTATGACTCGTGGACTTCAACTCCCAGAATTCCTGAGCCAGCATGGCTCAGCATGGAAACCTCTCCCTTTCCCCTCAGCATGGCTGGCTCAGGAATTCTGGGAGTTGAAGTCCACAAGTCATAAAAGAGCCAAGGTTACCTACCCCTGGCCTAGGTAACAGTCAATAAGTGCTTCAAATATCCCCTGATCTCAGGGAAAGATTTTATTTACTTATTTGTATCCTGCCTTTATTATTATTATTTTTTACAAATAACTCAAGGCGGCAAACATATCCGACATTTCTTCCTCCTCTTGTTTTCCCCATAACAATCCTGTGAGGTAGGTTGTGCTGAGAGAGTGTGACTGTCCCAGAGTCACCCAGCTAAGGCGGGACTTGAACTCGCCGTCTCCTGCGTGCTAGTCTGGTGCCTTAACCACTACACCAAACTGACTCTTGATACAACCGATGGAGATGCTTAAGTCATCTGAGTAACATTAAAATCTACCCCTTTGATAATTACAGTTCTCACATCTCTAAAGTTTGGTTGGATAGCTACTTTTTAATTTAAGTGCTGAAATGGAAACAATATTTGAATTAATTTGGCATGTTGAGGCAGGGCATTTTAGGGCTCACAAAGAAAAAAAGACTTCTTTTAGAGCAGTGGTGGGCACGCGCGCCGTCGCCCCAGCCCTAGGCCTTCAGCTGGGTTTTATAAAACCTTTTCACTTTAGGCCTCCGCTGCCATGTGCAAAAAAAAAAAAAAAGGTTCAATCAGTCGATTTCAACTTCTCGTGGGAAAAAAAAAAAGATCTTGCAAAGTTGGAATTGATTGAACTTTTTAGTCCCATCCAGTCTGCTGTTACCACCGCAGCCACGCCCAGCCAATGGGCCACCCACCCAGCACTCGAGGATGCATAAGTGGGTTTTGGGTTGCAGTTTGGGCACTCAGTCTCTAAAAGGTTCGCCATCACTGTTTTAGAGCAATGGACCACAACTCCCAAATTCTCAGAAAAGATCACGTTGCCAGGGAAATTCTATGAGTTTAACTTCTGAAAAGGGTTCTCACCACATATTTGAAAGAGACAGCTTTGATCCTGGCAAACCATTTACCTAACCATTCATAAGATAAGCATGTTGGGATGAAGGAATGAAATTTTGTACAGTAATTGGATTTTTTCCCCCCTCTTCCAGATCCTTGGAGTATGGCTTGCAATGCGCTACAGAAACCAGAAGGATCCCAGAGCCAACCCCAGTGCCTTTTTATAGTTCTTTCTCTCCTACCACCTTCCAGGTTCCCTTTTTAGTTAGTCCCTTCTTGCTTATTTAAGACCTCCCATTTCCATCACTCGATTGCCAACAGCTCTGGCAGGCCCTATGAGGGTGAATTTTGCCTTTATGCCAAAATGCTGATTGGATGAAACAGCAAGCGGAGATCTCATCCATGACATGAAGCCTTGGTGGCATGTGGCAAAGGGATCCAGTACTGGAAGCAAAAGGCAGACAATTAGTTGGTATCACATAAGATAGTGAAAAATCATTTTGTTGACTCATGTGATTGCTGCTCCATAACTACAATCATTTTGGTGTTTTTAAAATTTTTGCATTATCGTATCCGTGTTTTTAAAAAAACAGATTTTCCCCTAAAGCTGTTTCCCCCCCCCCCCCGCCTTGTCATCTTGACAAGGTAAAGTGTTTTGTGTTACCTTTTAAGCAGCAGAGGCAACAATTGTCCCATAAAATTACTTTCCCCAGGTTTGCCAGCTCTTCCCAATTTGTGTTTCCTGTGGTCAAACGCAGTAGACACAAGTGCTACATAGGAAGCAGCTCTGGGGAAAGATTTAGTTTAAACAAGCATGATGACGTCTTATTTTAGGATTTCTTTTTTTTTTACAAGCCGAAATTGAAATGTATCTAAATTCAGAATTTACAATCATATACTTAGGCTGCCTCTTTTTTAAGGAGGAAGGTCGTAATCTGCCTAAAACTGACTGGAGAACTCACTTGCTCATAGTGTAATCGCAATTACATCTTTAAAAGTTCTTAAAACTGGCTTGAAAATGATTTCTCTGAAAACTTAACACACCTTTTGGAACAAAAGGGACTTGAGTGATACCAGCCTGAGATTTGGATTCCAAGTTCCTTTGCAATATTTTTCCTGTGGTGGAGGATTAAGACTTGAAACTGTTGTATGCTGGTGATATAGGTATGTGTTCAGTTGTTTCCCCTATATTCAGTGGTTGTGAATAAGAATGTATGTGAGGATCTTAGCTAAACCCCCATTGGGGATTCCATTGTTTGAACACTAGCCTCCCTATGTAGTAGCCCCCCCTCCCCCGCTTCCGGTTTCAGCCCGCTATCATTCTCATATGCAATTTCTTTTGTTCTACTTTTAACAAGGGAAGCTGCGGCTGAGCACAAGCATGTTCTTACACATTAGCACTGGGCTTTGTATAGTATTAACTGAGCTAGATGGCAGCCTAGGAAAGATGGTTGCAGTGCTGTCGGTCTCTTGTCGAGAAAGGTTCTAGTGAAGCTCCTACAGAGGTGCCCTTTCAAAGAGCCAGATCTTTTGAGGACAGAGATTGGAAGGACCCGTGCCTTCAAGACGAAAAGCAGAAGCACGTTCCCTTTAATGGGGAAAGGAAACACGGACTGCTTTCTCTTTGACGAGTTATGAATGTCTTCTAGTGAAACCTTGAATGTTTCATATGCTTAGTACTATTTATTTATAGATTAGGAAATGTCTCATAATCAGTGGCATATTTTGCAAACAAGTACTTATTATATAGGGCAGGTGGAAATAGCTTGGCAAATTCTCCTCAACTCCTAAAGCTACAGGCGGGCCTCTGAGGTTATCGTCCTGGGTGTCGCACAGTCTTAAATGGCACAGATAAGCCCCCAAAGCACGTTGCTGCCTTTTGGAAACAAGTGTGGACTGAGAAAGATTGAACTCTCAAAACTGCTTTTTGAGCCAAGATTACAACTCCAGTCAAGTGTCGAGAGGGGAAAAGTGGGAGAAGGTAATTGTAAACGTTTGATTTACATATTCTCTCCTTCTGAAGATCATAAAAGATGGATGATAACAGAATGCAAATACGAACAAATGATAAAATTCCGAAATCATCTAAAAAGCGAATAACCTGGTGAGAAATGCCTCTTTACAGATTCCCTAAATGCAAAATCAAAAAGAAAAGTGGCCATTTGCAGCTCCCAAAGGAGCATTATCTGAGAGTAGTAGAAGGCCCTCTCCCATACCCCCAAAATAAGAGCTGGCGTGAGTTGCACAAGGGAGACATTGTGAAGAGAACCTGCCCTCTAGATCCCAACAACTGTAAAAGTGTGAATCAGGAGACAGATTCTAAGTCATTTAAAGCTGTAAAGGTTAACATTTAACACCTTAAATTATGCTCAGAAAGCAACTGGCAAACCAGAGAACTTTTAGTACAGGCATCACATGATCCTTGAATCCTAGCCTTCCAGTGGCCGCTTTTTGGAGTAAATGCAGTTTTTGTACAGTCTTTTAAGAGAGTCTTGATGGAAACGTTGCAGGAGTTAAGATGTGACGTAACAAAACATTGAAAGCTGTCATCAAACCTGGCCAACCTGGGAAAGGTGCAATTAGTTTAGACGTAACTGCAAGGGTGCACCTCACCTCACCTGAGAATCCAGTGACATTTGAGGCTCGAGGAATACGCCCAGTCTGGGAACTTGCTCTTTTAGAGAATGTGCAACCTTATCTAAATTAGGCTGATCTCTGTCTCCCATCTTCAGTTTCCCATTTGAAAACTCATCTGGATTTAATTTCAGATGGTTCCTCGCCATCAAGTTTCATTATTGAATTGACAGTGTTCAAAGGAACTAGTTTCTTTCTCGGAATTGAATGATAAGCAATAGAGCTAGGTTAACATCAGCTGGGAATACTCTTCCAAAACACACACACACCACACACACATATACACTGGTTTTATCCTGACAGCATAGAGCAAGAGGAAGCCTACCAGACACCAAGAGGCAACCCCAATTAATATCTTCTGGATATGGAACGATTAGAACCATGATAAAATGAGATTCCAATCTTACCCTATAGTCTAAAGAAAGTCTACCCTATAGTCCACTACATGCTGTAGTGGTGATAGTAAAAGTGACAATGGGTACAGAACTGGTAGGGCTATACTCGTCCCATCAAAGTTCCAGAAGGGTATAGGACAACTTGCTGTGGGACAACTTGCCACAGCCAATTTGCTATGGGACAAGAGTTACACTAATATCAAAGAACTGGTGGAAGAGAATCATTAAAGAAAGAATGCAAAAGGAGGAGTGAAATGAAATGTAAATGACAAAAATTAAAATATTTTTTTAAATCATGGAATAATTGTAATTGAATTTAAATAATTGTTGAATTGTCCCACAGGCAAGTAGGCTGTGGTGAGTTGTCCCGTGCTGAGCTGGCCATGCTGAGTTGATCGCGGCAAATTGGCTGTGGCAAGATGACCATGGCGAATTGGCCGCAGCGAGACGGCTGCAGCAAGTTGTCCCATTTCGTTCCAGAATGGGTCGTCCCCAGGCGACCCAAGAGTATTTTAATTCTACAATCTGGCTGAAAGCTTGATATCCAGGGGGGGGGAAAATCAATATTATTTAGCTGCATCTAGAGCTGCAGGACCACTACATTCTTCATCACTATACCATGAAATGGAATACTGAGTCTGGCCTGTAATTCTACAAGCCTCCTGGGATAAGAGTGTGTTTCTGCTATAAAAGATCTTATGGTGGTCACCATTACATGGGGGGAGACATTTTAAAGCAGGAACTGGACACAGTTTTTAGCAGCCTTTACACACTGGGGTGGGTGCTGGCAGTCTACCTAGCTGCATTACTCGCAGGAACTGATTGAAGCAATTCAACGTGCACTTTATATAAGGTGGCAAGTGAAAACTGTACTGTAGCCATGGTTTTCTTATCCTGTTTACCTCAAGAGGAAGGGCTAGATAGATGCCATGCATTAAACACATAAAATGGAGTTTGCAGGCTATTTCTTTCAATCCACCTTTTTTTTGGCCTTGCAGTGATGGTTGATGGAGAGGGTGAGGGAAAGACCTATCAGAAAAGAGCAATCTTGATATATTCAAGAGCTGCCTACAGCTTTAGGATCTACATACTTTTCCCATCATGTACACATGGAACTGCTCCTGTTGTGACAGGCAATTTAAATAAATTCATTTCTGTCAAATGCAGATCTTTAGCGTTTTTCTTTAGTACTTGCTACTTTACTAGCTTGGGGATAGGAATGGCAGCAGTGTTAGAAAGGTTAGGTGGCGATACATTCCAGTAAAGAAAAATTTGCTCTAAGGCAGGGGTGTCAAACTCGCAATGTCACGTGACATATCGCGACTTTTCCATTGCCGGCAATGGGGTGGGCATGGTTTTGGCATGACACATCCAGCCCGTGGGCCGGCAGTTTGACACCCCTGCTCTAAGGTATACCTTCCTCAATGTTGTGCTACAGATAAAAAAAACAGCCTCCTGACAGAAGTCGACTGCTCTGCTAAAAACCGGAATCTTTTAATGTTAAGAGCTTTTGAAAATTCAACCCTACTTCACTGTTCCTCTCCTGGACCTAGAGGCATTCATAATGCCTGCACTGATATATTCTGCGCCAGCTGCAGCTTCCAGATACTTTACAATGGTAGCACTGTGACGAGTATTGCAGTGGTTCACTGCAGGGGATGGCCAGGGAATGAGTGAGAGATCCAGGAGAAGGGACAACGGGTATACAACACGAAGTTCAACACAGGCCCTCCTAGCCATGTCTGCTACCTGCTCCTTGAGTAGCAGTCATGAGTCTTGGAGGAGCCTCAGATTATGCACTGGGTCCAGCTGAGCCAGTTCAATCCCATCCAGGATCAAAGATAATAAGGTCCCTGATACAAAAGAGCTCCACAGCCACTCTGTCTTCCCAGGGTATAGTTGAAAACTCTTGTTCTTCATTCAGGCCTCCAAGCCACCACAAAAGAACACCCATGGCATCCCTTAGTTCATGTGCAATTGATCATCATTCACCTGCTTATGATATTTCATCCTCTGGTGATGGGTAACCTCACCCAGTGGTTTCATTTAGATCAGGGGTAGTCAACCTTGGCTCTTTTATGACTCGTGGACTTCAACTCCCAGAATTCCTGAGCCAGCTAAGCTAAGCTGGCTCAGGAATTCTGGGGATTGAAGTCCACGAGTCATAAAAGAGCCAAGGTTGACTACCCCTGATTTAGATGTTCAAAAGGAGCCAAGAGAGCATGCATCAAGACAAGATTAGCAACAGAAAACGAGAGAGCAGGTTGCATGTATAGCGCTTAAAATATACTTTGGCTTCAATTCTGCGTTTCCTTACTGAAGAAAAGTTCAGTGATAGCCATGTTATCGATTGTATATTTCTTTTATCAAAATAGACACATATAGATGGGTGTCTTGAGCTACATAAATGGAAATAAACTTCAATATATAAGGCACATACAATAGCTGCCCGAGCACACATATGTACCAGAATCGTGTATGTTTCAAAAGAATACACATGATGTATTGTCATTTCTGTATACAGCAAAG